AAACACGGTATGTAGGGCTGTCAAAACAGCTCGCTGCTCGCGAACAGCTCGTGTTCGGCTCGTTCGCTATGTGAACGAGTCAAACACGAACGACACGAACCAATATTTGTTCGTTCGTCTTCAGCTCGTTTTGGCTTGAAATACTACTAATCAATTTTATATATACGTGATTAGAGTTGTCAAAATGAATTTTTGTTCGTGAACGACTCGTGTTCGATTCGATAAGCAAACGAACTGAACACGAACACACTTAGGCTCGTTTATACCCCCAGTGGTATGTCAATATGAATGTACATAAGAATTGTGTGGTTTGTATGTAAATGCCCATTTTTTTATTTTTATTTTTCTTTTGAAATGAATGCTAACTAGGTTGTGAAGAGCTCGTTGTGCAGACGTGAAAGCCACTAATTCATTTACTTCGTAAATTTTTATATATTATATTCATATCGACGAACATTATTCAGATTTAAAATACATTTAAAGATAAATCATATTTATGCCAATAAAAAATGTATAATTATATATTTGGCGGCATATTTATATTTTGAATCTGGCCCGTGAGACGTGCACAGTAAATGTTAATTTTTCTAATCCAGATCATGCCAAGTCACGTCCACGTACTATTAAAGCACAGGGTTATTCATGGAAATATTTAAAAAAAAACGTAAATAAAAAATTATTATAGTAAAATTGAATAGACCACAAATAAAAAGCAATTTTAAACTTAATTTCTTACATAAAAAAGTTCATAAAATAATTTATGAATGAGAGAGCTTTCATATTTACTATTAAGAAAACATATGTAATGAAATATTAAAATTTTAAATGTTATATATGTGAATATAAATATCTAAATATTACATATTTAAATATATAAATAAATTATGTGGTATATTTGGTGGATAATTGTTAATTTTTTTTTTTTTTAAAAGGAGAAAGAAAAAAAAAAAAAAGGGAAGATCGGTGGAAGCGCTCGAAATAGGGCGTGAGAGATCGATGTATTTAATTGCCTCTCCTTCCCTGATTTCTTACTTGTTATTTCCCTCCTCGGCACTTCGGCGTTCGTCTTCTCCGCTCCTCTGCTCTCAGCAATCTATCTTATTTTTAATTTTGTCAATTCTCTCTCTCTCTCTCTCTCATCGACTCCATTTGCGGCCTGCTCGACTGAACTTGGGCTAAAGGAGGTCTTTTGAGTGGAACGCGGCAGGAGTGGAGCAGAGAGGAGTGGGTGAGAGATGAAGTACGTGTTGGTGACGGGGGGAGTGGTGAGTGGGTTAGGGAAGGGGGTGACAGCGAGCAGCATTGGGGTCGTGCTCAAAGCCTGCGGCCTCCGAGTTACCTCTATTAAGATTGGTATGTAGCCGACTCCTTCGTTGGAGATCTCTCTTTCTGCTAGCCCGGCGCTCTTCTTCGGCGCTGTGATTTTTTGTTCTTTTGCACATCGTTTCAGGAGCGATTTAAGCGTTTTTTATCCTAAGGCTTGTTTCTGGTTGGGCAATTCATGGATCTTTCCTATGGAAGAAGAAGCCACTTTTGAAAGCACAAATTAATTAGATCTTTTTCGAGGCGTTTTGATCTTAAGAATTGATTTTATTTTTTTTTTTTTTGTCTTTTTGAAACAGAAAACTGCGGAAGTTTTTTGTAATTCTATAATTTTATTCCTCTTTGTTCGATTTGTTTGCCATGAGGTGCGCTGGTAAAAGCTTTTAATTTCTCTTCTCTGTGTGGGCGGTGGGTGGGCATAGAGATGGGGGGGCCGGATTTCTCTCAACTTTATCTATACTTTTCTTTTTGCAAAGTATCAGAAGATTGGAAATTTATTAGTTTAATAGTCCTATGAGGTGAAAATTGAAAGTTTTGCCCTTCCTTTTGTGCGTCGTTTAGAGTTGTAGTTGACAGAAAGCTGCATAAAAGAGATTGCAGGTCCTACTCTCCATATCTTTCTCAATCTTTTCATTATAGCAGGTTGGCATGTGCTCGCTTTGAATAATGGTAGGTGCAGGGCCCGCCATGGCTGGGCTCTTTGCGCAGGTGTCGAGCAGAAATTACGGCCAACCCTACTCTCACACGACTTAGAATTTGCTTTTGTTTATTCATATTATCCACAACCAGTTTCTTCCATTTGAGGCTAAACCAAATTTAACAGCATGGTTTTTCTTATGTAAATAGTCTAAACTTGTCTTGGTCAGGCACTTGACCATTTAATTAAAAAGTAAATTTTTATAAAAAGTGTATTTTGGCTTGTTGAAGAAAAAGCAGTAAAAAGATGGATTCATTCCTAAATTGTCGGATTAGACTGGTTGTGCTGACGCTAAGAATGATAGTGATGATTTATTAGTTAATTTTATTCAAATGAATAAAAATTGTAATTGCTAATAATCCTCAATGGTTATGCACAGATCCATACCTCAATACTGATGCTGGAACGATGTCCCCTTTTGAACATGGAGAAGTTTTTGTTTTAGATGATGGTGGGGAGGTATGGAAAGGTTTAGATAACCATGCTTGAATTGCGACATTTATTATCCTTTTTCACCTTTTTTATTATTCATTTTCACTTTTATATGCAATTAGTTTTCTTTTTGTTACTGCCCGAAGGGGTTTAACTGTATTTGATCCCTGGTTTTTTTAGGAGATGCCATGCGTATAACCTTCTTAAAGTTTACCAGTTGATTTACTGAATTGAATTTTAGAATTTTTTTCCATTGGTTTGTGACTCAAAGAAACTTTAAGTGCTTTGTTTTCATCTAAATTTTCCTGTCATATTGGACAATCCTCTTTTGTTGCTTTTTTAGTGTATATTTTTCTATCTGATAAGAGTTTTTTTTTCTTTTGTGTTTGAAAGGTGGATTTGGATCTTGGTAATTATGAACGATTCCTAGACATCAAACTAACACGTGACAATAACATTACCACAGGAAAAATTTACCAGGTATGGATTTTCATCTTTTTTTACTTCTAAGGAATGCATCATTCTTGTACTTTTAACAAAGTTACTAGCCAGCAAACTTCTATTCAAATTATTTTTCTTTTCACATTTTTATTTAGGTACTTATTCCTTTTTTTGTTTTTTTAACCGTTTTATTGAGGATAGTTTGTCATTGATAAGGAGAGAAGGGGCGATTATTTGGGGAAAACTGTTCAGGTGTATTACTGTTCTCCATATAGCACCCTGCATGAATATTGTATGAGTAATTTTTATTTTGGCACTGAAAGAATCACTTTTAGGTTGTTCCACACATAACGGATGCAATACAAGAGTGGATTGAACGGGTAGCACTTATTCCTGTTGATGGAAGAGAAGGGCCTGCTGACGTGTGTGTTATAGAACTTGGTGGAACCATAGGTGATTAAATGTTTCAAAAATGATTGTTAAGTTGACTAAAAAAATGTATAAAATGTTAACACATTGATCTTTTGTTTTACTATCTCGCTCTACTTAATAATTTATATTTTTTATGTTTGTGGCATAACAAAGATGGAATTGTTGATGCAGGAGATATTGAATCCATGCCCTTTATTGAAGCTCTTGGTCAGTTTTCTTATCGTGTAGGTGAGAACATCTTTACGGATATACCTACTTGGAGGATTTTTTTAGTTTTCTTTTTTTTTTTTTGCCTTAATCTAGAATTTTTTTTTTCCTACTCTTCATTTGCTCTGATATTTTCTAATAATATGGCTTATTACAGGCCCTGGTAACTTTTGCCTTATCCATGTCAGTCTTGTGCCAGTTCTAAATGTAGTTGGTGAACAGGTGAACATCTTTGCAATTTTTTGTCTGCTGCTTTGTTTTTTTTTTTTTTTTGGGAGGGGGGGGGTGGGGCGGGGGGAGGCGGGGGAGTTTGACATACATACCACTCAATTTCTACGTATTTACATATCTGACACCTATATTTCAAATTTTGCATATATGCCACCCTTCTTATGCATTAAAAGGCTTATTTCACTGCTTAAAAGTTAAAATCATAAATGTTATATAAAAGCTTTGGGTGTTATAAAGGCAAAATATAAAGCTTAGGTTTAGATGTGTAAAGAGATAGGAATTGGGTGGTATGTATGTAAAGGCCTCTTTTTGGAAGGAAAGTGTGCTTTTTACCTCAGCAGAGTTGATGGCTGATTCTAATCTTATTGTGAGTTGTAAAACCTGTATTTTAGGCCAATTTTTTAATATTTGTTCTTAATTGCAGAAAACTAAACCAACACAACATAGTGTTCGGGGACTAAGAGGACTTGGATTGACTCCCAATATTCTTGCTTGCCGCAGTGCATTGGTCTGTCCTTTTTTTCTTCCTGTTTTTTTTAGCTAGATGACTATTGAAGTGACTGTACTTCTTTGCTGTTGAATGCAGATCTAATTTTTATTGTATATTTCTTTGGCAGCCTCTGGATGACAATGTGAAAGCAAAGCTTTCACAATTTTGCCATGTTCCGGTATTTCAACCAAACTATTAACATTCCTCATCTATTTTGATTCTAGGAAGGGCATAAAAATTTATTATTCGACAATGATTTTGCAGCTTGCAAATATTGTTACTCTTTATGATGTCCCAAACATTTGGCATATACCATTACTTCTAAGGGTACGTTATATATTTCAAAATTTTATCTGGAAAATCCTGAACTTTTCATCTTGCTAGCTCTCTTACTAGTCATTATAAATCCTATCAACGTTGGACATGAAATTTTGTGTTTTTTATAGGATCAAAAGGCTCATAATGCTATCTTGAGAGCTCTGAACCTCCAAGGGTCTGTTTGTTTTATTTAATGATCCCAAATTTTTAATAGCAATCTATTGTTTTGATTTATATATTGAGTCTAAATTTGCATTTATATATGCAGCAAACTTCGAGAGCCCATGCTAGAGGATTGGACTAAAATGGTTAAAATCTGCGACAGTTTACATGATCCAGTGGGTTTTAACCTAATATTGCTTATTTAGTACCCTTTCATGCTACATAGATTTTTTTCACATTCTTACTTGCAATGGCCTATAATTTTAGGTTAGGATTGCAATGGTTGGAAAATATACTGGTCTTTCTGACTCATACCTCTCTGTATTAAAGGTATTTCCTTTACTGATAGTTTTGTTTATCTAAATTTCTGTATGTTTGACACTTCCCGAGCTAAACTGAGCACTTCCATGCCCTAAAGGCTCGAAGATAAAAAAAAATTCACTTTTTTATTAATTTTTTAATCTTATATATCCTTCATAGCTAAGTGAATGAGGATATTATAAGTATTTCTCCATTTTTTAAGAAGTTTGTTCTCTTTAGCGTTGTGGCACGGTCATAATGTTAAGGTTTTTAATTTAAAATCTAATTCCAACAAATGTTACCCATTCCCTAACCTTAGAGAACGTTAGTCCTATGAATTAATAATTATAAGTTAAAGAGATTGGCATATGACACCCGAAGGCAATAATTTTATGAATTGGAAATTGTTGTACTATTAAATGTTGTAATATGGTTGTAAAGTGAAAAATCAAATTGTGGAGATCTTGTGATGATTTGCTATCTGCATAGATAGACATAATTCATTGAAAACTTATATAATCACAGGCTATTCATGTATTTTTTAGTGAATTTTCTGGACCCACATAATTTCGTAGAAGTCTTACCTAGAAATCTTAGCGAAGATGTTATATAACTGATCCACCTGATCAAATTTTAGGCCCTCCTGCACGCTTCTGTTTTATGCCGAAGGAAACTCGTTGTTGATTGGGTTACTTCTACTGACCTTGAAGACACAACTGCTCAGGAGGTTTGTTGATAAATTTTTCTCTTTTTTCTGGGTTTATCTTTTTAATTCCTTAATAAGTTTGGGATTTCATGAAATTTGTTTAGGCGCCAGATGTTCATGAAGCAGCATGGAATCTATTGAAAGTAAGTTTTTTTAATTTATTTTATCTACTGATTATATTAACTTCCGTTCAAAATCCTTAATCTGATGAATTTATAATGCAGGATGCAGATGGAGTGCTAGTTCCTGGAGGTTTTGGTGATAGAGGTGTCCAAGGAAAAATTCTCGCAGCAAAATATGCTCGAGAAAATAATAAACCCTATCTCGGCATTTGTCTTGGCATGCAAATTGCAGTGATTGAATTTGCGCAAAATGTCTTGAATTTACAAGATGCTAATAGCACGGAATTTGATCCTAACACAAAGAACCCTTGTGTGATATTTATGCCAGAGGTTGAACTTTTTCTTCTTCTCCTCCATTTCCCCTTTCCCTTTTCTAAATTGTGAAAAACTGTAATTTTTGTGTTTTGATTTATTATTTGCTTTCATAGGGTTCCAAAACACATATGGGAGGGACAATGAGACTTGGGTCTAGGAGAACTTACTTCAGTGTTAAAGATTGCAAATCTGCCAAGCTGTGAGGACATTGAATCCTTGAGCTTTTATGAAATTGTGATTTATTCTGTGCAGCATTTTTTTTTCTTATTTTGTTAGACCCGACTTGTTGTTTTGTAACTTCTTTTTGTTAACAGATATGGAAATGTGGCATATGTGGATGAAAGGCATAGGCATAGATATGAGGTAAGTCCCATCATAGTATTCCCGAAGCGTGGATGTTTTTATAACGAATTATCCTCAGAGATTGTAATTAATTATTTTACACGACATTTGCTTATAGAAAACATTGAATGTTTTATGGATATGTAGTCAGATTGGCATACAGAGCATTTACACCAGGATAATTTGAGTGAACTCAGGTTTTTAGGGGTTCTGAATTCATATTCAGCTTTCCTGCAATAAATAATAGGCAAAAACTTTACTTTTTTACATGCTATCCAATTCCCATGTACTTACATATCTACGGTCTAAAATTTACTTTTTTACATTCATATCACCCAAATCTTTCATATAACATCAAAAATACCACCATTGTAAATTTAAAAACGTGAAATACATATTTTCATGCATGGGTAAGGTGGCATTGTATGTAAAAATTAAAGTTTTGGTGTTAGATTTGTAAAAGCATAGAAATTGACTGGTATGTATGTAAACCTAAATAATAAAGATTCACGCTGTCTAACTTGTATGGATTAGCGGCCTATACATTCAAATTTTATGATTTTAACAGTCAACATGCATGACTTAATGATATGCTATTCAATTGGCTTATGAAAGAGAGCTTTTTTTCCTTTGGTAATATCAGAAGAATAGCATTTGAATTATCTTATTAGTATTTAAGCTTTTTCCACTATAGCTGCCTAAGCGAAGGAGATAATGAGTAGGTGAATGCATATTGGCAAATCTAGAACCCAAAATTAAGATTAAAAAAAAATGTAACTTCTAAACAAATGTATTTATGCATATTACGACCAAATACTTAAAATATTGATGAAAGCTAGAAACAATGGTTACAATTATGTTGTAAATTTCCATATTTTTATGGGAATTTGACCAATAGAGGTAGGAGTCTCCTAGTTTTGTAAGCATTCAAAATTTGTTATTAGGCACGAGATTGCTCTATTTAATATATTTTGTATGGTTACTTTTGTTTGTTCATGCAAAATATTTTTTAATTGCAGGTAAATCCTGATTTGGTAGCGAAACTTGAAAGATGTGGTATTGCTTTTGTTGGCAAGGATGAAAGTGGTAGACGTATGGAGGTATGATTGCACAACAACTGTTTTTTTTTTTTTTTTTTGGCTATTAAATTCCAAATATGCTTTCTGAGGTTTGTTCTTAATGACTAAACATCGTATATTGTACAGATTGTTGAGCTGCCTTCACATCCTTATTATGTTGGTGTCCAGTTCCATCCAGAGTTCAAATCTAGACCTGGAAAACCCTCTGCTGTTTTTGTAGGTAATATCTTCTATAAATATTGAACACGAAATAAGTAGAAACATTATCTCACCTTGCCTGTTGAGGATTTAACATAAACTTTATCATTCCAAATTTCTATAGAGATGCACCCTACTAAGTTCAGGTTATTGATATCTATGACATAATTGTGTTTGGTGTAAATCACTGTTTGATATTGTTATGATGATTTGAGGACGTAAGTTTTGCGGGAACATTTAATTTTTGCACTTGGAACAATTTTGATTTACATGTAATTTGGTTTTTTATGGTTGCATGCCCTTGAGTTTTGCTCTTAATTAGATTGCGCGGCAGTGTTGCTAGTTGCAACATTGCTCTAGGATGATTTTAATGAATGAGGAGCTTCCAAGGATATTCTGGATGCATTTAACTCCTATCAGTAGTTATTCTTTGGTTTCCAGTATTTAAAAAGTTAAAAGTCACAAAATTATGAAAGTAATTGTTTGCTTGTAAGGTTCTGCATGAAATCATATTGTAATCAATGCTTTTCATAAACATTTGCTTATGTTCACTAACATAAGCCAATGTTTCATGCCATATTGATTTCCCTATCAGCTCCAGCTTCTTCTTTGATCAAGTCAGCATTAATTGCCCCCTAAAGCTTAAAATTCTAGAACAGTGCTTGCATTTCCTCTAACATCATATTTGATATCATTCTCTTCTATAGTCATGGTTGAGGATCAGAACTCATCAATCAGCCTTGTATGCATGCTTTCCAGGTTTAATAGCTGCTTCGTGTGGGCAACTGGATGTGCACCTAAAATCTAAGGGAGACAACAATTTGCCTCAAACAAAGCAGAATACAAGAAATGGTTTTCCTGCAAAGGTTTGCCAGAACGGACACGCGAAGAACTTGCCAAATGGAGCGTATTATGCAAACGGCAATGGCGTGCACGCTTAATTTCATTCAGCTGATCTCAGTAGTTTGGTTTTTAGGATTCATTATGTGGTTTCGTATATACACAATTTGATTGGTTTTAAAGTTTCTGTTCCAGGATATAGCAGCAGCTAATAGCCATTGCTGGCAATCGAGCTTGTTCCAGGGTTTTTTAGCAAGGGACGGCCAATTTTATTTTTGGCGCAGACAGATATTGATGTTGTGATACTACTTTTTTTTTTTTTTTTAATGATAGTTTTTTGAACTCTTCTTCCATTTTTATTTAGTAGTTGATGTTTTTTTGTTTTTTTTTTCCCTGTAAATTAAGTCTAGTTGCCAAGTTATATGTAAGGATTGTTAGCTTCAATTTATGTTTTGCTTGTGTGATCAATTACTATAAGCTATTTCTGTTGTTGCTGTGAATGTTTGTTATTCATCACTGATTTTAATCAAATATTAGCAACACATTTCATTCAAAATTCCAGGAAAATTATGTGCCTTTTTAAAAGCCTGTGGTTGGCATTGTAAATGGACACGCTTTTTAAGTTCCATTTGGTGTTTATGTGTTGTTGTTTTATGTGAAATATAAATGCACCTATTAGCTTTGTTTGATACAATAATGTGTGTTGCATGAAGCCAAAATACTGTACTCATTAGTCACCTATGAGCTTTGTTTGATACAATAATGTTTGTGTTGTATGAAGCCAAATTATTATGCTCATTATTTGATGAGTTATTACATGGCTTTGTTGTTTTGTACTCATTAGTCACCTATGAGCTTTGTTTGATACAAAAATGTTTGTGCTGTATGAAGCCAAATTATTATGCTCATTTTTTTATGAGTTATTACATGGCTTTGTTGTTTTATGCTGTTAACTAGCAATTTGATCCAAAATTTGGATGGACAGGCAAGAAATATATATTTATTTGTACACTTGTCACATTGGATCTTCAATGAATCCTGTGCTATTGTTCTCATATAAGGATTGTCATTCAGCTTGACATTTTATAATTGGTGCATATATTTGAAGTCAAATGCCCTTTTTGTTATTAAAAAATATATATATTATTTGAACTGGCTAGCACTACTTCAACTGAATTGATTGCAAAGCAATGCGAAAGCGACTAAGTTTGAGCGCAAGATAGGTGTAGGGGAAGAGAGAAAAGAGCTAGCAAAATCATGGGTTTGGGCGTAACATCGTGCAGGCTCATGTAAGTGTGTGTGAGAATATTGAGCAAGATAAGAATGCCAATTATGAGCTTTAAAGAGTTAAGAAAACATGTCTACTTTCTTCTCATTTCAAGTTACAATTTAAGGTGAACCTAAATTTAATAAGAAAATTATTTTCTCCTCTTTTATGAAAGCAAACTACTTGAAACCCTGGATTATGTTCAAATTTCATTTTTTAAGTTAGTGTTTATTTGTTTTAAATTGGATATTATCTAATATTTTATTTTATCTAAAATGAGATTAATTATTTATGAATAGCAAGACTTAGATTTTATTATAATATTTTGGAGTTGTTTAAAGATAAAAGGTATATTTATACAATATACATGTGGAAAATTTTTATCGAGATTAAAATATTATTAAAATTTTAATATGTTGAAAGGATGAAAATATATTATTAATTAAAAAATTATTAGATATTATAGCTTTGAAGTTAGAAATGCCTTAAACTTAATTTCAAAATGAAGCTAGAATAAAATATCAAATTAAAAATAATAAGAAATGTTCAATTTAACTTAGCCAAAGTTTCTTTTTTTTATATCATAAAATGAAATTTTAAATGCTTTGATTTTAAATAACAATTGTTTATATAGATAAAAATAAAGTGAGATCAATATATTTAATTGTTGGCAAGGTGTTGTAAATAATGAGATTAAATTACAAAAATTATAAAGGCAAAAGCAAGTAATGTGAGAGTGAAGTTGTTACTTCTATTTGAAAATTATAATAATTATTTTATTTCTTTTAAGTGAAATGCATCATTTTATATCAATTTATATTTAATTAGTTGTTAATATAAGTTCAATTATGATTTATTTACACTAAAAAAATATTAGTTATTTTGATATGAATGTTCTAGATCTCTTAATCTTCTTGAGTATTATTTAAGATAGAAAAATATTGAACAACAAAAAAAACTGAATGGAATCATATTGAAGTGTGTGGATGCCCATTTTGATTGAAGTTTATCATCTACTGATAGTAGTTAAAGATGTAAATGTAATTGAATATAAAATAAAAAAGGATATTGACATTGAAGTAAATTAAATAGTGCAATGTATACAATGCTCAAAATATAGGTATATTATACAAAAATAAGATAAATAGGATAATATATTATTCTTATTATGTAAAAGAATGTTCCAAAGCCTCTTACACGATCATATTAAAATAATATGAATTACCAAATGATTTTATAATAATTTTTTTTATTTAACAACCATACATATTTTATTCTTTTTTTTATGTTATTGAAAACTTGAGATATGATATACCAACAAAGTTAATATCAATAATTCATCATTTTAATGAAAAACAATAACTTGAGAACCAAAAAATGGAGTACATAATTTATATGTCATAGATGAGACCATACATTATTTGTATCAAAATTATTTTATTTTTAATTTAGTGTTACTTTTGTATTTTAGTGACACTTCTGATACATCAGTTGTTAAAATGAGAAAGAAGTTTAGATTTTTTTTATATACTTGGTTATAAATGAAATTTAAAATTTTCATCTGGTTGTTTATTCCCAGCATAATGATTTTAAGCTCTTAGATCAAATCATAGTAGAAAGTGTTATCATAATGAAGATTGTATTAAGTAATATAACTCAAAATAAAAAAGCATGATAGTTTATATAAGACTTGGAGTCTCAATCCAGTGGAAGTAATAATATCATTGTAATGGATAAAAATCTAAAGTTATTCCAAAACCTAATTACAACCACAGTTATTCACTAGAGCAGAAGGACCAATTAAAAAATAATATTAATTCTTGTGAATTAAGAATATATTGGAGATTATATGTATTGTCTTGATGGAAGAAAGGTCTCACTTACAAGCAAGGTATTGGATGGAGAAGTGAGAAGATGATGAAAGGGAAACAACACAATAAGTTGGGAGGCATATCTATGAAAGTCAAGTATTAATTAGAAAGACTATTTTTTTTTACAAAATGATTTGTACTTTTTTTTACATGGATTAAAATGTAAGATAAAATTATAAATAATATAGTGTAGGTAAAGAAGTTAGTTATGCAATATGCGGAAAATTTTATAATATTGACAAGATATGCATCATAAATAGTTTCAAATGCAGCAGAGAAATGTCATTGATTTTAATGGATGTGATATGACAATCTTTATTATCTTTAAAGATCAATGATTATTAGGTTTTGCTGGAGAGAACATAAATACATAAATAGATTTACAAATTATTCAAAAGCACGGAGATCTGAATAAGAGAAAAAGAATTGGGGGAAGGAAACATGTTACTCGATTATAAAGATTAAATTAGAAGAAACTACGCTCATTTCTATGGTGGGGGGTAATTCCACAAAGTACTCAAAATGAAAAGTATCGTAAAAGGAGAATGATTTTTTGGTTCCTACTCATGTTATTAATGTTATTAGCATAGACATATATAGCAATATATGAACTTGTACCTGAGCAAATGAACTTAGAAGAATTGAAATAAAGTAGTCAACCTTTGCAAGGAGAATTTAATTGATAAAGTATGATAGAATCTACACCGTCACCTCAAATTAAAAAATATATATAATGACGAAATATACAACCATGAGTCAATTACCTCAAATTTAATTGATAAAGTTTTGTGTTTAATTTTCATTGAAAGATTGAATTGCACTTAAACATTGATTGGGAGTTCAAATTAGTGAGTTATTATCTTCCTAACTCAAGTCCCTCACATTAGGATTATTAAAGACTTAAACATCACCCAACTTATAACAAATTGATTAATTATAATTTTACCTTTTGTAGAAAATTTAGTGAATTGGTTCCTACCCTTTAACCCTTTGTGTTTCAATCAATTCAAAAGTTAATTATCATAATCATTACCCATATACCCTCTGATTTGACCTAAATTTTAATTTGAAGTTCAAAATTTCATAATTATCATTTTACCCTTGGGTTCTTTACTTCATAATTCCTTAAATTTAACTTCAAAGACTTTGAAACTTTGTTGTTACCCTTACACATCAAAGAAGAGTTTATATTTTTTGGCTTTTATTTAATTTTTACTAATTATTTTAGTCCAAAAATAAGAATTTTTAAATCTAATTAATTTAGATAACCAATACATTTTTATGTTCTTAAGAAAATTTTAGAAGGTTAACTTGTGTCAAACGACCACTTGGAAAGAATTTTGTGAATTTTTAAATTATATTTTAATTTTTATAATTTTTAAAATTGATTTTAAAGGATAAATAAAAAGAAAATATATTTTATTTTCAAAATTTTATTTTTATATTTTCATATGACTCTGATTTCAGATAACCCAAAGAAGTTACTTTTATATTTTTATGACTTTTATTTTTTTTTATTTTTATAATATTTTATTTAAAAATAAGGAAATTAACATTTAAATACTAAAAATACCTTTTTACATCTTAAAAAATTTATTAAAAAATATTTTTAAGTTGTTTTTTGTAGTTAGGGAATAAATTTTTGTGATTTTTAATTATTTTTAATTTGAAAAATAGCTCAAATTGAATTTTTTTATTTTTCCTAAGTTCTTCTGGTCTTAAGAAATCACCCAAAATAATTTTCATAATTTTTTTTATATTTTTATATTATTTTATATAATTATTTAAGTAAAAATTCCTATTTACTTAGAAAATACATTTTCATCTTAAAAATAACATTTCTAACTTTCAAATTTTTACAGAAACTTTACAAAATCATTTTCTTCTTTTTTTGGATATTTAGGTGATTTTTTTAATTATTTGTATTTTTCTAATTTTTAATAATTGTTATCAGTTTTAAATGAAAATATGTATTTTGAACCTTTTAAATTTGGTTTTTATTTCTTCTAATATCCTCTGATCACAGTGATCTACCAAACTTAATTTTGTATTTTTCTGACTATTATTTTATTTTTTATATTTATTTAATTGGAAATAATACTAAAAGTCCTTGGAAAATAGGGCTTTTGATCATAGGGGTGTTTTCTGACTTTGAAAAAATTAGAGAACACTTCTAAGCACATGAAGAGTAAGCCCTCCAAATTTTACATTATTTTGATTAGTATTTAATTAGTTATTATTTAAACAAGTTTAATGTATTTAATCAATTTAAAAATAAATATAAGGCAAATATTTTTTATTTTTGGTTCA